GGGCCGTGGCGCCATGTTGTGGCGCCGTGTTGTGTGGAGAGCACCTCGGACCCGTCCTGGGCTCAGGTCGCCCAGAGCGGGTGCGTCGGGTTCTTGCTAGTGGCCCTTGATTATCGCCCCTCTCTCCCGCTTCTGCAGGGTGTTGTCCGGCAGCTGGCCCGCGGGCTGTCTGTGTTACACCTTCATGGAGCCACTGCAATGGGGACAGGGCTGTGAAGGGCCCCCGCCATCACAGGGATGATAATTAATACAGGCCGGGCGGAAAGGGGACGGCCCGCAACGGTGTCATGTTTTGTCTTGGCAAGGCCACAAAACCCGGATGTAACTCTATGCCAGACTCCTCAGGCGCAGAGGTTCCCTCCGCAGTAAATTGCATCTATTATTCACTATTACTTTAGTCTATTTATTTAAAGCATTCCTCCCCTGTTTTCATCCCTCTAGAGACTTGATGCTAATACCTGCTAAATTCAGCTATCATTTGAATAAAGCTTATTCAATTATAGCCAGTGCTGGCAGTAACAAGCTGACACTGGAGAAGAAGAAGGAGAGAAGTTTATTGCCCCTCAGACATGTCCTGCAGGGAGAAAGCCATACAAGCGGCTCTCATTGTTTCTTATAATCTCTAGTGGGGACGGATAATGGTTAACCCTTCATTCTCTGGAAATTGTTCTCCAGCCTCTGCAGATATCACCTCAGTGCCTGTCTTTTTATTGTACGTTCTCTTCTGAATCCCTCCTTGGGTGGATCCTGGCATCCTGTGTCAGGATCTGCTGGTGCGATGGTGCTAATACATTTTTCTGGACAAGACCTACTCGGTGCTCATTCCTGGCTTCAGGGCTGGGGAACATTAACCATTTAGTGCTTGTTCAGCATGTTGCTTTTCACTCCTAATTTTCCTTTTACAGTAATGAGAACAATTTTTTGATTGATTCAGAGGGACAGTCATTGGGTGTGTAATGCAGAGCACTTCTCCATTTTCTTGTTTTCTGTTAGTAGCTAGTGGAAGATAGAGCTTGCTCAGCTCTTAGTTCCCTGCCAGGTTTGTTCCTCCAGTCGTGTGAAAGCTAACGAAGTTACGAGCAGGTTGTTGTGGTTTTGCAAAGGAGAAGCTGAACAAGCAATGAGTTAATAGCCTATTGCTGAAATTGAAGAGAGCACTAGAGAGCATTCTAGTCAGCAGAAGATTTGTTATTCTTGTATACTCAGATTATCTTTATCTTGGTCAGAGTGAGATAAATGAGAGCTGCCAGTGATCTTACCATGGGGAAAGCTTTTCCAAAAGTACCTCATCAGTCAAACGCTCTCTTTTAGCCCCTAAAGTACAATTTACAGGTTCTCTGTAAGCTGTTCATGGTTACATATTGTATAGTATATTCAAGATAGCTTATTCTACTGGTTAAACACTACATTTGCATCATTTAACTTTATTGGGATCACCTAATAACATTGTTACACATGCTTAGTGTCAGAACGGTTGTGCTGGTTTTGGCTGGGATAGAGTTAATTTTCTTCATAGTAGCTAGCATGGGGCGATGTTTTGGATTTGTGCTGGAAGCAGTGTTGATGATACAGGGATGTTTTCCTTACTGCTGAGCAGTGCTGACACAGAGCCAAGGCCTTTTCTGCTTCTCACCCCACCCCACCAGCGAGTGGGCTGGGGGTGCACAAGAAGTTGGGAGGGGACGCAGCTGGGACAGCTGACCCCAGCTGACCACAGGGATATCCCATACCATATGACGTCATGCTTAGCATATAAAGCTGGGGGAAGAAGAAGGAAGGGGAGGATGTTCAGAGTGATGGCGTTTGTCTTCCCAAGTCACCATTACGCGTGATGGAGCCCTGCTTTCCTGGAGATGGCTGAACACCCGCCTGCCCATGGGAAGTAGCGAATGTGTGGGGATAGGCAGCTCGAGGACAAGGACCGAGCCTTGTGCCCTTGAGGCATGAGAAGGCACGTGGGCAGAGGATAAAGGAGGAAGTAATGAGCTGCTGAAAAGGAGTAAACAAGATGAAGGCCATGAAGGCATGTCCCGTCATCAGGAAGAATCGGCCAATCCGCTAGAGCATAGACGCGGGTGAACACAAGGCTGTAACCTGTCAGCGAGCTGCTGATAGCGGGTGAACGCTTGAGTTTGGTATAAAAGGAAAAGTTACACCATAATAAAGGTCTTTGGTTGTTGCCTGCCAGAGTCCGTGCCCTTAATCCCCACACGAATGAATTCCTTGTTTTGCTTTTCTTGGGTGCGCTGCTTTTGCTTTACCTATTAAACTGTCTTTGTCTCAACCCACGAGTTTTCTCACATTTACTCTTCTGATTCTGCCATCCCGCCGGGGGGGTGTGAGCCAGCGCTTGTGTGGTGCTTAGTTGCCGGCTGGGGTTAAACCATGACAACGGCGTATGCTGATAAATGCCTTATGAGAGCACCTGATGCGAAAACATCTTTGTTACCAGCACTGCAAAACATGTTTAACAAATTAGTGTGGTACAAGCTGCACTGATTTATTATCCTGTTGTTGGAAAATATATGCTCTTTTCTACCTCAAAAGTAAACCATTACCAATACTGTCCTATTTCTGTTGCACTGATTAATAAAGCTCTCATGTAGGTCTCAGAAAATCTGACTCCCTTCTTATTAAATAACTTCAGTAGCAAGAAACCGTAATACAGGCAATGCCTCTTTTGACCAGCAAGGTTGAGTGTAGACTTGCTATGATTTTAGTCAGCAATTACCCGCAGAATAAAATTTAACGAGCGCACAGGGGTCACTTTGCTGAAGAGGGAGGGCAAGGCACTTTCTTTAACTGCATTCACACTCTCCTGCCTCAGAGTCTGGTCAGGCTCTTGGAGCTAGTTAGCGCACCAAGAAGTTAAATGAATGCGCGCTTTGGGGTGTGATCTGTTCCCCGGGTTTGGATCTGTTACCAAAGATCATGGTCCAACATGGGCCATGGATTTTTTAACACTTTGTGAAGTCATGTACCTATTATTAATACATTATATTTCTTCAGCTCCTTTTAATGGGATCTGGCAGCTTTTCTTGGGGCACAATCATTAATGTTTCTCCTAACTGCATTCTGGCTTCAGCTGTGCTTGGTCTTGGCAGACACGGTGATAATCGTGTCTGTCATGTCTCTGTCTGGGTGACTTTGGTGCAACTAATACCTGTCACACTCATGCAGACAGAGGTGCAGATTCTTCCCTTGCTCTTTGACTTTAATAGAGAACTATGCTTACATCTTTTCCCTGCAGTGCTAAACAAGATCAGTTTATTGACTTATATTAGGAATGTACAATCATCTCTTACTATGAACTGAATTTTGCTTGTGTATTATATGTTCCTTTAAACCTGTATATATGTGGAATTCATGCATTTGGATCACATAATCTCCTCTCCTATATGACATAAAGCGTAAAATATCCTCTGTTGACCTTAGATTAAGTTGACTAACCTGTGTTTGATAAATCTGCCTTATGCTGAGCGCGGCATATAAATGCTGTATTTTTCTTTGCAGGAGCTTCCATGGCTTTATCGCTCTCACAGTGAGGATATGTTCCTTATTTCATCATGATGTATGCATTTAACTATCACTTTCTTTTACCTGAATCACTGTTGAAAGCAGCTGAGCAGACCCTACAAATAGCTTTTTCCAGACTAGTATGTACTATTAAAAATTTAATGTTAGGAAACTTTGTGTCTGTGTCAGTAAAAAAATAATAATCAGTATTTCATTGTACTGTTTTAAGGCCTCTGCTCAAATTAAAATTTCATCCAAGAAAACTTCATCACTTTGTAATCCCTCAAAAATCAGTGCAGTTAGCTCTTTGAAGTGCTTTGGGGACAGAATGAATGTCAAATGGTGTTCATTTAAATGTATAACATCCAAATAAATCGCTACCTTAGAGCCTGAATAATCTGACTTTGGATGGCAAAAACCACAGGTGCTGCATTTCAGATTGAGAATGTCTTTGTTTCTGAGAGTTAAGCTATCTTCGAAAGCTTTCTGCTGCTAATGTTCATGTGTTATGGCTTTCTTTAAATCTCATGCCTCAGTGGGCACCCATGAGCTAGCTGGCTTTTCAATTACAAATAACCCAGCATACAGATCAGCTTAAGTTTCAGGTAACTTCCATATGTGAATACTATCAGTTCTGCTTTATTTCTTATGGCACTGAAAACTGGAAATTTTTCCTGTTTGAATATGTTGATAAAGTTTCTGGTTCATCTTGGAGTGACTATTTTTCTCCTTATTATTCTAGGCTTTGGAAGATGTCTGAGATTACTGTACATTTGGCCTGTTCCACCTCATTATTCTGTACTACATGCTAACAAAGACGTTAATGGTATTCATGGTTACTGCCATCTGTGGCAGTTCATAATAGCTGTTTGTTTGCTCTTACTTTATGTTCCAGCTTCTGGATTCAGGGGGTTATGTAGGAGTCTTGGTCTGAAGGAATATTGTGAAGAATGTTACAAAACAGAAGCTGAGGGCAGCATTAGAAGTAAAATACAACAACCACAAGCATTTATTTAGTTTAGGGCTTTTTTAAAAAACAGTCTTATGATTTTGGGAAATAGGATCCTGATGTTTGAACACTTGGTATTGTCCACACTGACACGTATATCTCTGTTTTCTCTTCCAAAATGAATCAGACCAGTTTTCAAGCTGATTTATAAGGTTGTCACCTCTGAATGTTTCTTCACATGTGGATTATGGAACGTGCTTTGCTTTAGACAGCTGTC